CGCGCATTGTAGAAAGTTCAGAGGTGACATTCACGACATCATTGCGACCAGAACTATAATGGGGGAACGATCCGGGCACAGACCGGGCACAGACCTTGGAATCGCATTTCCCAATGAGTATGCGGTCCGGACCGCACATTGGCGACATCCTTGTGACCAGAATTATAATGGTGCGCCCAGCCGCGCTCAGACAAAATGTACGTTTCACCACACGTTCGTGCACTCGACACGCACGATCTCCGCAGAGGGTTGCTCGAGGGCAAACCTTGAAACCAGAATTACAATGGGGGAAACGCAAAATCGACAAAACCTTGTCACCAGAATTATAATGGCGGAACGCACCGCGCACACCAAAAATGTACGTTTCACCACACGTTCGCGCGATCGACGCGCACGATCTCCGCAGAGGGTTGCTCACGGACAAACGCGATTCGCGTCTCACCACACGCGCGCGCGATCGATGGCCACGATTCCACGAGAGGGTTGCGTTTCGTAAGACCTGCTCGCACCGCCCCGCCGCCTAAAGAGAAGAATAAAGAAGAAGTTGGGTAGGTGAAGTTGGGTAGGTGTCTTAAGGAAGATGTCTACACCTACCTATCTTCACCTACCTATCTTCACCTACCTATCTACACCTACCTACCTACACCTACCTGTCTATACCCACTTATCAATACCTACCTATCAATATCTACTTCTGATGTACTTTGATATTGTTGACCTGATACTTCTACTTCATATGTTATGTTGTGATGTGATATTATTTTATCACATGATATGAGATGATATGATCTGACATTGATGTGATGTGATATGATATTAAAACATGATATGATATGATATGTTATGACATTGATGTGATGTGATATGATATTATAACCTGATATGATATAATATGATATGATATGAGATTAATAACCTATGAGGTGATGATTAGATGATGATGTTGTGAGGGTGAAGTAGGAGAAAGTTAGTAAAGAATATGAAGTAAGGAAGGTGAAGTAGGATAAAGAGAGTCAGGAAGAGAGAGTGGGGAAGATGAAGTAAGAGAAAGAGAGTAAGGAAGAGAGAGTGGGGAAGATGAAGTAAGAGAAAGAGATTAAGGAAGATGAAATAGGCAGCAGTGCTTAAGGAAAAACCCTTCGCAGGTGCTTTCGGGAAAAAGGCCTGTCTCTTTTGTTGGGTGATCCACCCTGGACTGGAGTGTAGGGGGGGAACAGTACGGATCCTCCGACTCACCCATGATGTCCAGGGTTCCCCCTACCATGGCAACGTCCTCGTCATTGTCACTTACTGCCCATGGATCGTCAGTATATGCCATGTTGTCAGTAATTAGACGTGCTCACGGACTGATGGGGGCGGCCTCCAACACGGGTTGGCTGCCGAGGTGATGCAGGTGGGATAAGATTATTACCGCGTGATGCCTAAGGCTCAATGTTGCGGTTATCACAACTCAAGGTGCCTTCCACACGGGTGGACTGCACTGACGTGCTGAGGCTCCTGCCCAGGTCATCGTTGAAGGAAGGGAAGAACAGTCAGATGGTGGAGAAAAGAACAAAGACAACCAAAACAAACCAAAAACAAGCAAACCACAGCCCACAGGCCGAGTCTCCACCATCTTGTAGTCTTTCCTCTGTGCTAGGTGAAACAAGTGAAACGAAAACTAGTGACTATCAATGGGCCTGAATTCTCGAACGAAGAGCATGACAGCGCAGGTTTGTGCTCTAGCAAAGTCTCCAAAAAGGCTTCAAATGGACTTTACTTTTTGATTACGAGTGACCAGCGGCCACACCACGGTGTGGCAAAACCATGGTCACGATGCAGGTCAGGAGTATCGCAATGCTCCAACGCCGGTTGCATCCATGTCAAAATGGAGCGGTGGTAGCTATGCTGCATGCCGTGGAAAAAACCTTTCTTGCAGCGCAACCCACGCAACTGGTTGCACTTACAAGTCCGGAGGCATGTGCTGCGTCATTGCAAAAAGTGATCTGCTGCGTGCACGGCCCGTGTGAAACAGGTGAAACTTTGGACTATCCTAGCATGGTATCTGTACCTCTTTGTACAAAATTGGAAACGTCGGACGTCAACAGAGGGAACTAAGGTTCCCCTGGGCATCCTCCATTGCCACTCTCTACCACCCGCCTGTTAGGAACGAGGAGCTAAGGCTCTCATTCCTATTGGCTCACTGTGTCGCGAATGGCGAAAAGAGGTCGGTGATCCTACTTAGTGTTTGCGCATCTCACTTGCCGTAACTTGCTGGCGGTGTGCTTATCCACCATTCCCGCTGCGAACACATTGCTGGTCTTTGCAGGTCTGGAGAGTCTTCTCCCCTTTGATCACTGGCATCTGCCGACAGCTCTCGGCGCTGCCTGGACTAGACGGGTTGCCCACCTTTGTCAAATACCCATGTCCTTCGCCATGTGTTGTTTTTCCTTACTTGCACCTTGCTCGAAAGTGCGTGCTGCCTGCAAGAGCGCATAGCGCCATGCTAAGCAGGGATGGAAACCTCCTATGGAAGGGTACTCTGAGGGAAGGCTTGTTTTGCGATGCTCCTCAGCTCTATTATGGAATTTGGCCTGGTATGGCTTCTGGCCTACACTGGACTCGCGCTAAGGCGTGCGCCCAGACTCTTAATGAGTGACTGTGAGACCGCGAGAGCTGTGACCCGAAAGGCTTGTCTTCATCCAAGGCCAGGGGTATATCCCATGTCCGGGATCATATGCAGCCAGGGTGGCCATCTCATAGCAGGACAAATGGCGAAAGCGTTTTCTGCAGCATAGACTCCTCGCCATTTGTGCCTTCCTGGCATTTTGGCGAGCCTCTTAAAAGCAGTGCAATCCAAGAAAGCCCTACTTCCAATGTAAAGGATATTTCACTGCAATCGGTGCCTGGCCACATTTGGTGCTTATAGTTTCGGCTGTTCCGTGTTTACTTCTTTTTGAGTTGCCATGTAGCTCTGGGCCAGTGACCACGGATGCCTGTTGCTGATTGCTCGGAGGGGTGTACAAATTGTTTGAGGAGAAGCTTGGCCATTGACCAGAGCTGCCTGTTGCTGATTGCTCGGCTGTGGAAATTGTTTGGGTGGAAATTTGTTTTTTTGTTTTTTGTTTTGAAAAACACCATCATTGCTGGACAATGCGTTCACACGGGTATTTTATCGTCGAGTGCACTGCCCGCCGTTTGTGTACAGGTATCAAACACTTGAGAGAGAGCGCCCCAAGCTAGCGATGAAACAGTTCTCTTCATAGCAGCACGCCCTGCGGATCAATATCGTTTTGCAAGACACGACCAACCCCATCCAAACCCCACAGGCGCCGGAAGATCACGGGATTAATGTGTTGTAATAATTTTGGAGTGTGACAGTTTGACATGTACTCGACGTTTGTCACTGTCAACAGTGCGCTGGCAAGACAACGCTGAGAGTCTAAGTCTGGCCGGCACACCTGGGTTTTGCTCAAAGCGTGAAGATGACCTTCCGCGCCGTTGAAGAGCTGAGTGGGCACAGCGCTCAAATGTGTGGGCGCTATACGATTTGGGTTTCTTGTCGGGGCCATCGTCAGATATGTTTCGGTTTGTTATAAGATATTGAGGTCTGAGACAGAAGGAGAAATCATGAAGCGGCCATCGTCAAAGAAGCCAACGAAGGCCCAGTGTTTGTTTTGTGTTGCCATTGGCCGTTGACCACAATGTTCCTCCAGGCAGTGACACGCGCCATCCAGAAGGAAAGCATCAAGACTTATGAGGGTCGCATTCTACCCAAGTATGCATCTTGTGTGGATGGGTCAACGTTGCGGCTTTCAACTTTCAAGCTGCCAACGGCAAAGCCGTTGAGTTTGCAAGTGGTCAGACGCCAAGTTTTCGAAGGGTGTTGTTCGGCTCTAATTCTGTTTCATGTTTAAGAACAAACCCAACACGTGCGGTAAATGGTTTTTGTTGACAGCGGCGCGAGGTATGCAAGTCCCGGAAGAAGACCAAGAAGAACGGTGCGCAGGTTTTCAAGGGCTCCAAGACCTTTGCCAAACGGTCATGCATAAGCCTGGTTCTCGGTATAGTCATTTCAATTGGGATTTCTCTCAACCGCATGTCCGCGAAATTTTTGAGTTTGGTGAGACGCCAAAACTCCACTTCGTTTGGTGCGCTCCTCTTTGCACTCTATTCGTAGGCTCAATATGTTGTAGAAAAATCTTGCGGGAAAGATCCTTCGTTTGCTTTTCTCAGGGTGTTTTTCCGGTACGACAACGGCTTCAGCTGGTGATGTGTCACGCAGGGCCATTTCAGTCTGCGCCTCGGATTTGTGATGGAGCGACCTGTTGATAGTTGCACTTTGCGAGACTTTATAGAATCAGGGCTTCAGATACCAGTACCTTGACCTTGTTCCAGGACTTCGCCAACCAGATCCGCTGTTCCGTTGAGTACAGGGAGGCTGTGAAACGGGATGCAGTTGCTGTTGGGAAGTATGTGACGCCGAACACAGCCGAGTTCTTTTCAGGATTGATTGATTGTGAGGTTTGCGTTCAGGCTTTTGGGGCACGAGTTTATTTAGTGTGGTTTCCTTGCCTTGGTCGCCAGCTTCCACCGGTTGTTTCTGGGGTTGCAGCTGTCAGATGGCTTTTGGCGTGAGGACTGCCTTTGAACTGGACGAAGCCCTTGGCGAATTGCGTGGACGCGTGGGTCTTTGACCAAATGTTCCCGGGCGCACGTGGCCAGGTGAGTGAGCATTGTATTGCAAGTTGTTCTTACTTTTCTTAACTGGGAAATTCGAGCATTCTCAATGTCAGGCTGGGAAATATCCATACATTTCGCTCTTCAGCGGAATCGGGGGGCTGGACTTAGCCCTTGCAAAGCACGGACCTCAAAGAAGGAGTCTTTGTTCATGTAATTTAGCTTCAGATGGATTGGATTGAGATCTTGCAAACTTGACTCGCAGCCCTTTCACATACTACTGAACGCGCAACACTGCTCCAACGTTCATGCAGAAGCTTCGTATTGAAACTTGTCATTCTTGCCAGCTTCTGACTGGTTACTCTCATGGTCGAGCGTCAGCCTGGGACCGGGAAAGAGTCATGGGCTGCTGTGCGATGTGTTGGCGTCAATCAAATCAGGCAGGTTTGGAAAAGGAATTTGGTAGAACCAGCGTGGGCCAATGTTCTTATCATAGATACCGGCCTTGGTCGCAGGCTTCCATGGGGCACGCCGATCGAGTGTTCCTGGCACGGTGAGCTGCTCCTTGATTCTTCAATTGGTCTCGCGGGTTATGCCATGTGAGTGTTGCGCATGCTCGTTCTTGATGCCAGCTCAGTGAGGTGGATTTGGTCTTGGGAACGCAAAGAGTGGCTGCAAGCTGGACATCAAGAACAAGCCAGCTCTTGTCAAACGCAAGCGCTGACGAAGGCGACGCTTCACCTCCCCCATGACAAGTCACCGCAATGGTTTTGCGAATGTCAGGTGGGCGCAGCAGTTGTGGAGTCCGGTGGGCCTTCGGAGCAGACGAGCAAGCGTGCCAAACGGCAGCGGGCAGAGCCGTGAAAAGTTTTTGTGCGCGTGTGGCGCGCGTGGCAAGCAACTGAAGCCATTGTTTAGCCAGGTGCGTGTGCCATTCTTTTTCTCAATCTTTTTCTCAATGGCGCAATCATCGCAATTTTTCCCAGCGGTGCTATAGCCATTCTTTCGCAATCCTTCGCGTTGAAGCCTGATGCATTCAAGGTGGATTTATCCAGTGGCCTATGCATCGGCCTTAGGTTAGCCAGGTAAGCTTGACTACCCACTTTTTGCAACATGGTCTCAGGTCGAATGCGACGGCTTTTGCCAAAGCATCCTGAAGCTTCGCATGTCCGAGGGCTTGCTCCACCATGGCCCGGTTTTTCCAGACGTTCAAGATTTTCACGGCGGTGACCTCCCAGCGGCCGGCGTTGCAGGGGGCTTCCCATGCCAGGCTGATTCCATTTTCTTGCATGTATGGTCTTTTCGATGTTCATTCGCTTGTCAGGGCGTGTCGACTGCGGGCAAGCAACTCGGCTTGTCCGACGCACGCACGGGGCTTCTGTCCCATGTGTTCCGCATTTATGATAGCTTGCCAGCAGACCGCAGGCAAGGTCTCAACTTGCTTCTTAATGTTTACTGACAGAGGTATAGGGTGTGCAGTCAGATTGTTCCACCTGGCCAGGGAGTTCATGGTTTTGGAGAATGTTGCCAGCATTTTGCACCGCAAGTCCGAGATGCGCGAGATTATCCTGTTCATGGTCAAGGCGTGTGGTGGTTGCGAGTAGATAACTGTGTTGATGGCTGATACTTTGTTGGTTTGTAAGAGGTGTTTTTGTCTGCCTGAAAAGCGCACCTTTAGCTCTTACTATGTCATTCCTGTCCTGCTAAGTATGTAAGTTATATAAGTCATGTCAGCCTCCTGCGCAATACAAACTTTTTTGGCCAGGCGTGCAAGTCACGTGGACTTACCTTGCATTGGGCATCAACCTGCCTGGATCAGGTTGGCTTGGCGGTGAAAGGCTTAGTTCAGTTCCAAACATGGAAGCGCAATCGACTGAGTTGTGTGTCACAGTGTGTGTGTGTGTGGGTTGAGAGGCCCTTTGTGGTTCTCAACTTCTGTACCCTTCAGGCTTTCCGCGGGCGAGTATTCTTCTTTGCCCACTTCTGAAGGACAGTTTGTCAAAATGATGGAAGACAGTTGAAACTTTTCAACAGTTGTCAATTGGCCCACGCTTGCTAAGAAGTGAACGCATGTCGTGCCAGGCAGAGCTCAGGCCTTTGTCAGAGCTCCTCCAAGTAGATTGGAACCATTGGAACAAGTTGCCAATGAGCCAGTGGCTGAGCTGTGCCACGCAGGAGCACGATCGTGAGAGGTTGAAGACCCTAGGCAACGTCGTTGTTCCCGCGTGTGGAACGCTTGGAATGTCACTTCTTTTGCGCATGAGTGCCGCGCGCTGATTTCCCATGGCAAGTTTGTGCGCGGGTGGGTCACGAAGTGAAGATTTTGCACGAAGTGAAGACTGCGACATCTCATACTAGCCAATCTTGTTTGCAAAGTGAGGCCCCTGCGTTCACAAGCGAAATTGACTTTTATTGCAGTTAAATTCAATTGGAAGATGGCTTGTAAGCCACTTGGATGTCGTATGCACTTGCCAGAACAATGATCTTGAAGCCACTTGAGTCTTTACATACTTTTTTCCCATGGACAAGAGAATGGTGCTTCATTCGTTTCAATGGAACCTTGGAAGGGGCATCAGCTGCTCTAAGTAGCTTCTTTTTGTTCAAGGAAGCACAAGGAAGCACAGTTCAGTCGAAGGCAGGGTGCTAGTGGTGTGCTACATGGCTTGCACACGTGCTCCGAAGCCGATTCCAACGGCAACTGGTACTGCTGCAGGCCGATTGGGTCTTGCGCGTTGTTTCTTGTTGTGTTTCTTCCTTTCTTTGGGGCCTGGTTTTTTAAAGTTTTGTGCGCGCCAGACCCGGACTGTGACGAACACGGGGGCTTTCACGTTCTGGACGCTCATGTCTTGCAGGCCCGTTAGTGCCAAGTCCCAATGTTCCATTCACCGCTGGCTATTATTGTAAAACGAAACCCAAACCAAGTGGAAATTGCTTATCTTCTTTCAAAACGTCTTTTGAAGCTCATTGTATTTCTTGCAGGACGCCAAAACCTTGGAGTACTTTGACGGCCTTGACGTGATGGTCATGAGGTTTCAATCAGTGCGTGAAGGACTGTTGTTTTCGGCAGGTTGCTGCGTTGAGGGAAGAAGAGAACAGGTTGTCATCCCATTCACGTGGACATTGCCTGCAGGTTTTCAAGGGTCAAGGTTTGTTTAGAGTTAGGAGTTGTTTGGTCGATAGCTCCAATGTCATCTCCTGGTGTGGTGAGCTTGGTGAACGTGTGCTACGACTCAGTGAACTCGTTTCCAACTTCTTCGTTGGTGTGTATGGTTTTGTCATGGCTGGCAGCTTGGCAAGCCTGGGCGACGTTCTTGCCAGAGAACTTGAATGAACGAATCCCAATCGCGCGGAGCTTTCTGGTGGAGGCAGCGCAGAGATTGACGTGTGAGACCGGAGCGCGTGCGCTGGGCTTTTGCTCGGTAAAGGTTGATATGAGCTCGGGCAATTTGGACGGTTTCATCGAGGACCTCACCAGTGAGTTGGAAGATGTCTTGGAGGCTTTGTCCCATTGGTGTGCTTGGCTAACTGTGGACGATGGCATCGAACATGAGCGACTTTTGGAGGGCGCCATCAAGTTCGGATCTGAAATCAATCGCTTGTGCCCTGAGAGAATCCGAGTGGTGTGTGCGATGAACTCTTTTGCGAAGGCACTTCAACAAAAGGTTTCTGATTTGCAATTCGAGGAGGCTAGACCATGTAGAGGCATCTGACCCCTAGGTTTTACCACGCCAACTTGGCAACGTAGCGGACACAGCTGCTGGAAAAGAATAGAAGTGCACGGCCTTCCAAGTTGCCAGCTTTTAGTAACATTGCGTTAAATGTGAAACAAATAACAGAACGTTTGTAAGATCCAAGTGCGAGATGCACAGGACCGATTTGGATGAACACCGATTGGGGGGCTCAGATGAACAGGGGCTCAGATGAACACCGATTTGGGGCCCCGAGTGAGATGCCAAAAAAATGTTACGTCCTCCCAGTGTTGTGGCCTCCCGTCTGCGCTGTTGGTAGCGCTCGCCAGGATCTATGGGTGAGCATCGCTGTTGCTATCTCACTGCTGACGACAAGGCGACGCAGAAAGCTGTGATCTTTGGTTTCAAATTTGTCTAACCTTCTACACCGTTTTGAACCCATACTGTGAAAGACATTCTTGAGTAATAGCCAGTAGATGAAGCCCTCAGAGAATGACACGACTTATAAGGATTCTCTTTCGCAACGCTGCTATGTTTCCTGTCACTGGACTCGATCGACTATTTCCAGAAGATTCAAGTGTCCATGCGTGCGCTGTTGCGTGCGACTTCTTCAGCACTTCCTGGCAAACGATTGCGCTCGCGCCGAGCGCAGAGTTGAAGGGGGAGGACTCGCCAGAACCAATTCCTTGTGCAACGGCCGTCACATCGATGCCTGTGATTCGAATTCCTGCAGTGAAATACTCTGCCCTCATTCGTGGATTGCGGGAGTTGGAGCGTGGTTTCCTGTTTCAATCGTTTTGGAAAGCCAGCCGAGTTTGACCCTTGAGGTTTTTAGCCATTTGCGGGGTAGTTGGGGGGTCCGATTGTCATGGCCAAGGGGAGGAAAACTGACGTCAATCACAGTGCACGTGCCTTGCATCTTTGCCTAGGCTCTGGAGAGGGTGAAGCTCTTTCCTTGGACGCCTCCAAGGACGTCATTCATGGTCTTGGGATGGACCGAAACAAGAACATGCTTTCTGGGTGAAGCGGTGAGGCATCCTTAGATTGCCGTGGGCCTTTGCAACTCAATTACAGGTTGTGAGTTGTCAAGTTTTGTTCAACAGGGACGTGGATAGTGCCGCACAGGAAAGATTATCATAGCAGCGCTTTGCAGGGAGCTTGCGCGGCGAGCAAGCCTTTCTTTGCACTTTGTTTCATTGATGGGTTATGGAAAAATAATAAGTGTCTTTAGACGCACCGTGAAATCACTAATTTCCTTGTATGTAATGATGCCGCAATGATTGCAGTGTTCCCATCTCTTTTGGACTGGTCATCGGGCTTGGGGATAATCTGTAGCTGTGGTTCAAAGAAACCAGCCAGGTGGTTCATATTCATGTTTTGCGATGCCGCGCCCGTACATGTCGTTTGGGATGGTTCCCAGGGCTGTCTTGGAGCTCAGTGAAAGTCGTCCAGGCGTGTAGTCGCTTGGGATGGTGTTCAAAGAAGTCGCGGTTTTGAGTGATGACGATTGTGAGCCTGCTTGTTCACCAAGAGATATCGCCCAACCCCGGAAGCGGCGTCGGAAACAGTCAGCCGAGCCAGATTTCAGGGGCCTGACCGACGATGATATGAAGAAAAGGCTTTGCAGTGAATGTCCATGCAAGAAATCGTGTTTGAAGCAGTTCGCAGAAGAACCACTGTTTACGGGATTCAAAGCTTATTTGACAGAATGGATGAGCTTGTCAAAGTTGGACAAAGACAATATAGTCCCTTGTTTCAACGTTCAGCTTTTTTCCTTTTTCGATCTCTGATTTGTTCATTGCTTTCTTGAGTGGTTGGTCATTAAGTGAAAGGCAGGGTGTGGAGTGTCTGACTGTGAGGCTTTCGGACGAATGAAGCAGCTGGTTGCGGAGGCTGGAGATGACGCTTACACCAGCTGGTCTGTTCTAGGCGTAGACGTTTGCCGCCGAGCTTGGCAAGCGCTTCATTGTATGGGCCCGTTGACTAAACTTATACGTTTCAACTGGACAAATATTGCAAAAAAGGCATTTAGGCTTCTCTTGTTTACTCATTGTCATACTGTGAGGGGCTATGTGGTTAAAGGTGTGTCTGGGGCGCGCAGTTTCTCACCAAAAGTAATCCGTGCATGGAGTTTTTTCCAATGAGGTTCTGGTCGTTTTGGCAAACTTTGGAAAGCTGCCCGAGATGACGAGCCTGCGGCGCCAGTAGACCTACGCTATTTGACGGGTCAAACTAGCAGGATCGCTTCTAGTGACCAAGCGCATGTGAGAGGCGATATCTGCAGTTTTTTGGAGTACTTGTACGAAGGAGTGGCGGAAACGTTGCCAGATTTCAAAGATGAGCTTGGATCAACAAGCGCTGTCCAGGTGAGTGTGGCAGACCCGTATACTGAGCAGCTGCATTCCAAGTGTGAACATGTGGATTCTGACTTGAAGCCCGCCTTGAGAAGGCCGAGGAAGACAAAGAGGCAAGTTGTCATCAATCAAAGCCGGGGTGACATGGAACCCCGGTATCTGCCGCCGGGGTCGATGAAAGAATATTACGACCAGTACGTTCTTCAATCGTCGCTCTCCAAGCCTGGCAGTTTTCCCTCGTTCTGGAGGGTTGCTCAGATTTACTCAGGAAGTTGAGGGTTGTTTGCGCGCTCGTTTGAATGCAGTAGCTCATAGTTTGGGCGTTGTAACAGTCAGTTTGGGCGTTTCACATCGAGGTATGGCTCAGCGACTTCAATGCTTTGCAGATTCGTGCCAGCAGCAGTCATGCTGAGTGCTCTGTGTGCCTGAGGCACAGACACATGATCAAAAAGCTCGGACATCATCTACACGCCCGGCGTGACCAACAAAGATATTATTTTGAACATTTGAGAGATCAGTATCAGGACCGGCTTTGCTATTACAAAGCCAGGTCTTTGTCGAGGCACAAGGACCAGAAAACCATAGTTTTGATACAGGATGGCATGGATCAGGCGAAGTGCAGCCTGCCACGTTCAGCCGTGATGCGTGGCAAGGAGCTGCACATGTTTCAGAAGCCGAAGTTCCACGTCAGCTTGACTTTGGTACATGGTTATTTGATGTTGTGGAGCATAAGCAACCCGGATTGTCAAAAGGACAGCAATGCAAGCGTAGAAACCTTGGGACATACAATGCAGTTGCTCAAGGAAGAGTTCGGCGTGCACCTACCAGACTTTTGTTTGGTAGTGCACGCCGACAACACTTGCAGAGAAATCAAAAACAACCACTGTCTCAGATGGGCAGCCGCGCAGGTGGCGTCGAAGAATCTGAGGAGCCTGTCATTTCGGTTCCTACGATGTGGGCATTCCCATGAAGATGTAGATCAGTGTTTTGGTCGATTGGCTAGAAGAATTGCCAAGACCCAGCTTGCCCAAACACCAAATGATCTGATCGAAACCACGAGAGCGTGCGCTACCACAATGTTTCGACCTCATGAAGAGAAACGCTTTGTTTGCAAGATGGACGATACCAGAGACTGGTTTCTGGGCTTTGTTTTGTAATTTGCTTTTAACATAAACCGTTTCAAAAGGCCACAACTTCGCTTTCGACCATCCTAGACGCCTGCCAATGATTCTTTTAGACAAAGGAAGGCCAACGGATAACTAACTTTGTTTCAAGCTGAGGAAAGGGTTTCATTCAGGAGCCTGCCCATTCCACATCGTTGGAATCGGCGGTCCTGGGGCCCCACATCAATTTGATTTCATGAGACGGAGCGATGAGGATCTCAAAGGCATTGAGATTGATGACAGTTATTTTCATTGCGAGCGTCATTCCCACGACGTTGTCATGAGGACGCCGGAACATTCGCAAGTATAATAGTAAAAGTTCCTGGTAGACCGATTTGTCAGTCTGAGATTTTATGTATAATATGTCACATATTGAGTGATTATGTAGTATGTACTAGTATGTACATTGTAAAAGCCAATGTTTTTTCGAAGGTCTGGGCGCAATTAAGAGCTTCCAAATTCACGCTGGGAAGGACAAAGCGGTGGATTGCTTCGGCAGACTATCAAAAAACAATCACCGTGTTGCCGTGGGCAGTGGCACTTGACCGAATCCCGCTGGGGATCCCAGCAGGCCACGTCTTTCTCTTTGCTGGCGTTCTGTTTTTGCTAGCGCGTTGTGTGAGTTGTTTGGCCCAAAGCCCACTGTTGCCGAACCACTTCGGGGGGGCCCCAGAAACACCAACCTCCTGTGTGTCACTTTAGATGTCATCTCCCGAAGAGGTCTCACGCCGAAGCGTGACCTTGGAGATGAATACAAGAAGCACGTCTTGAAGTTCTTGGATTTGCTGCGCCTACCAATCAATGGGCTGGAGAAGTCCGCGGACTGGTTGGAAGATTGGATTCAAGGCGATTTGGAACCCACTCCATTGTTGAATGTCTCAGCGTCCTTTGCCCCAAAAGAAGATGTTTGCTTTGCCCCTACCAAATGAAGAATGTCCAGGACAAAATCTTGTAGCGTTTGGCAATTTTCCTCTTGGGTTGGCCAAGGACGGGGCCACGATGCAAGAAATGCGGGCCCCAAATCGGTGTTCATCTGGGCCTTTCGCGACTCAACCCTTTAAAACAAGAAAGGATGAAAAGGTCACGTGAACGTA